TACTAATAAGCTTAAAAAAAGTCAAAATAATATTAGAAAATCACAAAATCCACCTCACGGTCCATTCAATGTAAAGTCCATTGTTTAAATAATAAGTTGATCCACTACTCTCTTATACAGACCACTTGGCTCATATTAGACATGATTTTATCATTTTTAGAGTTTCTTATTTTATGGGTTATTATCTATGAGATGTTCCATCATGTTATTTTAGGCTTCAAAAGTAAATTGCATAGTGTAAACTTTTTTCTTATTGCAATTTCCCGCTTATAATTTTAGTCGACAATTTTTTTTAATTATTCTTAATACAAATTACTTCAAGTCCACCCCTTATTCTTGAAAAGTACCACATAATTATATGATGTATCTACATGTCATGTCCACCCTTTCGTTTTTCTAGTGCTTTGTTAATATCTTCTATTCTCAATTTTTTAGCTTATCTTTGTCCTTTTCCAAAGTTCAAATGGTTTGTGTCAAATGGATGAAAAATGTTCCAAATGAATTATTCAAAAATTTACATCAGATGTTATTGACTCCATATTCATCGAAAAAAATTTGCTATATATTTTCCTATTTTAGCTTGTGCATTTCTTTCTCAAAATCTTATCCATTGAGACGTGTGCTCCAATCCGTTAGCGTGTACCAGACATGCTTTCAAATTTATGGCAGAAAACGAAGGAAAAGATCAATTACTGTGCAACAAATACACCCAGATTGTGGAGCATCACCAGAAGGCAGCTATTCATCATCCTCTTCCCACCAATATGTTTCAAGTATCTTCCCGATCTGTTCTCGTATTTTACTGTTGTCGTGAGTCTGGAGGTTCTTAATCTTCTCTAGGCCCCCAGCATCAACAATCATCTGAGCAAAGACATTCACATCTTCTGTGTTACCTTGGTTCTTCTCAGCTTCTCCAACCTTCAGAATGTTCTCAAGGCCTTCCAAGCAGATTTTTATGACATGCACTTCATTGGGATTATGATGGAGGCAAAATAATAATTTCATGGAACTTCGAGTTTGTCATTTTTGGCGAATTGATAGTCCAATTCGATTGGAAAGGGATCGATGATCACAACTCAGGGCCTTTGGCCCTGATGCACGTCAAATTTTGGACAAATTCCGTCGTTTAAGTCCTCAATTAAGCGTTTTTGTCATTTATGGTAATATTTGATTTAGCAATATCTCATTCAATAAGATTCGGATTGCAATTCCGTTTGTTGGGGCACGACCCTGATGATTAGGAGAATCAAAATTCGTCATAATCTCAATTTTTCTCATTTATGGAAAAAATAATATTTTTCCATTATTATGTAATATTTCCAAATTTTCTTAGGTTTTTCGCTATTTAAATGTTGTAAGCCTTTGAGGCATGGCAATTTTGAATGAAATAAAATTTTATTAAATTTCTCTTGACTGAAATTCTTTTTGTGAGATTTTTGTTTTTCCTATAAGTTTCTCCTACATCAGTTGGTATCAGAGACATGTTTGTCCGTTTTTTTACGAATTGATAGTACAATTCGATTGGAAAGGGGCCGATGATCACAACACAGGGCCTTTGGCCCTGATACACGTCAAATTTTGGACAAATTCCGTCGTTTAAGCCCTCAATTAAGCATTTTTACCGTTTATGGTAATATTTGATCTAGCAATATCTCATTCAATAAGATTCGGATTGCGATTCCGTTTGTTGGGGCACGACCCTGGTGACTAGGAGAATCAAGATCCGTCATAATCTCAAATTTTCTCATTTATGGAAAAATAATAATTTTCTATTATTATGTAATATTTTCGAATTTTTTTAGGTTTTTCGCTATTTAAATGTTGTAAGCCATTTGAGGCAGACNGCAAGTCGCTGCACTTATGCCGCAGCAACATGCGCCTGGAGGTCGTGGTCGTCATGGGCAAGTTCCGATTGAGGAAGTCCAACACCATGATCGTGATATTCAAGATGTTACGATTGAAGACATTGAAGAAGCAACAGAGGATGAAGAATTTGATTATGAAGGTCCGCATGTATTTGACAATGAAGGCCCTGAAGAAGCAACAGAGGAGGAAGATTTTGAGTATAACGGTCTGCCTGTATTTGACAGTGAAGGTGTAGAAGAAGCAATAAAGGAGGAAGAGTTTGATTACGACAGGCCACCCGTATTTGACAGTGAAGGTGTAGAAGAAGCATCAGAGGATGAGGAGTTTGTGGTTGGTGTTGTAAGTCAAGCGTTGGTGGTGAGGCAGAGTTTTCAGACTCATTTTGAAAATAACACTGACTGGTTGCATAATAATATCTTCCAGTCGATGTGTACTGTTAAGGGAAAGAAAAGTGTGTTGCTTCCAGATAAGGGTTCGGTAAAAATAGTTAGGGATGACGCCAATTTACTGACCAAAGTGAAGTTTGAGACAAATGTGAAAGGATATGGGATAGTGTACGTGTTTGTGGAAAAGTCACTTGACAATGAGCGAGAGGTCACTCGTAGGGTTCAGCCATTGCTAGAGGACTTTCATAAGAACTTTCCAGAAAAGCCTCCAGATGGATTGCCGCCAGAGCTTCCATTTTGTGGTGATAATTCTGATGGTGATGAGGTTTCTTTCAATAAGACTCGGATTGCGATTCCGTTTGTTGGGGCACGACCCTGGTGATTAGCAGAATCAAGATCCGTCATAATCTCAATATTTCTCATTTATGGAAAAAATAATATTTTTCCATTATTATGTAATATTTCCAAATTTTCTTAGATTTTTCGCTATTTAAATGTTGTAAGCCATTTGAGGTAGACTCAATTTTTAATGAAATAAAATTCTATTGAATTTATCTTTATTGAAATTCTTTTTGTGAGATTTTTGTCTTTCCTATAAGTTTCCCCTACATCAGATTAACTAGAAGATCGCACATTGGCTCTATACAACCCTCGTGCACCAGGAATCTGCCACAAAGTTGTAGCATTAATGCTCAAACTGAATGTACAATAAGCTACGAGAATGTGACAATAGCTATGAAGAATTTACTTGATTTGCTCATTAGTTCCCTTAGTTGTGACATTATAGATAACCTCAGCAACAGCATTAAAAAGATGAGCATCTTGAAGCATTGGGAGAAGAGGTGAAATAATACCAGCCTCAATCATCGCTTGTGTATTTGTTGGATAAATTGGTGCATTATATTCCAATCACTATAATACATGCATGATTTTATTTGCTATTGACATGCAAATTATCGAATAATATTTTAACTTACTAAAATCAAGATAGGTGCATGAAAAGTAATTAAAATGACAATTTACTGACATTTAGGAAAATACAAAATTTAGAAGAAGATAAAATAAAGCGACGTATGTGAATGCAAATCTCCTTAATACGGATTTCGTCCCCTACGCTGGTACTAATAGGATCAAATGGAGGTCTATCTCCCAAAATACATTGTTTCTTTCAAAATTAATATAACATAATATTAATTTTATTGGATGAACCAACACATGATTATACTCTTCTAAACCGGAAGATATTGAATACTAAATATCGAACAGAAAACTCAAAAAGTAATTAGAAAATTATTTTGATAGAATTTGGAGAAGGAAAGAATTAGAAATTTATTATTTGGAAAGATTTGGATTGAAGAAAATGAATTAAGAGGATCCAATTTAAAGATTTCACGTGTTTCTTCGAATGGTCCCATCTTTTGGCACAAATTATTTTAACCATTAAATCTCACCACCATTTCAAGATTGATGTTCTAGGTCATACCTTTAACAAATGTCATTACTCCTTGTTACGCATATTTGGCACTTGAAGAGTAGCACTCAATCGATGCACCTATTGGATGTTTTTTTTTTTTTTTTTAATTCAAGCATTTTAATCTTTTTATATACCCTTAAATTTCAACAATTCCCCGCATGAATGAAAGAAGTCGACTCAGAACAAGAAAGACGAAGAAGAGTACAACTGAAATATAATGCACTAGGATCGGTAACTTTTGCTTTGAATCTTCTTTAGTAGAAATCTATCGAACTCACTAGTCTAATAAGTAAATGCAATGTTTCAACCATTATTGTAAGTCTAAACAATAGATCGAACACATTATATCTCATATCAAACTTTAATTCTCTATTGTGTTCATTATTTGGGCCCTGAACCTTGATTCTGCAAGTGCGTTAGAGAATTTGCGCAAGTAAAATTCTCATAGAACTGGCTAAGTTCACACTCAAGGTGATATTTTATAAATAGTACACTACAATATTCCACTTTTATTGTTTACAAGATACAGTCATCATTAAAGCATGAATTATCCTAACCAATATTTGGTAGACAGCACTTATTTGCATCATAGAAATTGGAAGGAGTTTAAACTTCTAAGTGCTTTTTATCGAGACAAAAAATGTGCAAACACACACAATTTTACGGAGAAATGCTATCCCACAACTTTAGGGTACATATGAAATTAATCATATAGTGTGCACAACTCCTTTAAAATTATGCCACATAAGCCAAATCACCAACATTCACTTCCTCTAAACCCATCAAGCGAGTTCCTAATGGTTACTGCCATTTGATTTATCTTCGTGGTTGATAAATGAAATTCAAGAAATTGCACTCTTAAAAGGAGACATGATGGTTAGCCACCAAATTTCAAAGAGGGAAGTTAGAATACATATAACAGGCAATGCTTTATTCTCCCAACAACCCCTTGCCACTATCAAATTCTGTAATTAGAGAAGTGTAAATAAATTTCACTACTAATGCATGCATCTCTTTAACTAGAAGGAGTAGAAAATTAGATTCCAAATGCTTCATTATCTTTTTAGTTTACCAAGAAATCGAAGAAAAATTAAAGAGAAAGTTCTTTCACATACTTTTCAATATACAGAATATATCTACAATATCATTTCCAGAATTAAGAATATGTTCTCGTCATGTAATACAACGTTTAAGTAAACTAGTATTGTGTGTGAACAATGCATAATAAAGTAATCGAGTAATATGAAAGAAGACAGCTATTCATCATCCTCTTCCTACCAATATGTTTCAAGTATCTTCCTGATCTGTTCTCGTATTTTACTGTTGTCATGAGTCTGGAGGTTCTTAATCTTCTCTATGCCCCCAGCATCAACAATCATTTGAGCAAAGACATTCACATCTTCGGTGTTACCTTGGTTCTTCTCAGCTTCTCCAACCTTCAGAATATTCTCAAGGCCTTCCAAGCAGATTTTTATGACATGAACTTCGTTGGGATTAACTAGAAGATCGTACATTGGCTCTATACAACCCTCGTGCACCAGGAACCTGACACAAAGTTGAAGCATTAATACTCAAACTAAATGTACAATAAGCTACGAGAATATGACAATAGCTATGAAGAATTTACATGATTTGTNATTATGAATTAACTTGATTTGCGCATTAGTTCCCTTAGTTGTGACATTATAGATAACCTCAGCTACAGCTTTAAATAGTTGAGCATCTTGAAGCATTGGGAGAAGAGGTGAAATAATACCAGCCTCAATCACCGCCTGTGTATTTGTTGGATAAATTGGTGCATTATATTCCAATCACTATAATACATGCATGCTTTTATTTGCTATTGACATGCAAATTATCGAATAATATTTTGACTCACTGAAATCAAGATAGGTGCATGAAAAGTAATTAAAATGACAATTTACTAACATTTAGGAAAATACAAAATTTAGAAGAAGATAAAATAAAGCGACGTATGAGAATGCAAATCTCCTTAATACGGATTTCTCCCCATACATTGGTACTAATATGATCAAATGGAGGTCTATCTTCCAAGCTACGGTGTTTCTTTCAAAATTAATATAGCACAATATTAATTTCATCGGACGAACCAACACATGATTATACTCTTCTAAAACGGAAGATATTGAATATTAAATATCTAACAGAAAACTCAAAAAGTAATTAGAAAATTATTTTGATAGAATTTGGAGAAGGAAAGAATTAGAAATTAATTATTTGGAAAGATTCGGATTGAAGAAAATGAATTAAGAGGATCCAATTTAAAGATTTCATGTGTTTCTTCGAATGGTCGCATCTTTTGGCACAAATTATTTTAATCATTAAATCTCACCACCATTTCAAGATGGATGTTCTAGGTCATACCTTTACCAAAGGTCATTACTCCTTGTTACGCATATTTGGCACTTGAAGAGTAGCACTCAATCGATGCACCTTTTGGAGTTTTTTTTTTTTTTTAATTCACGCATTTTAATCTTTTTATATAGTCTTAAATTCCAACAATCCCCCACATGAATGGAAGAAGTCGACTCAGAAAAAGAAAGACGAAGAAGAGTACAACTGAAATATAATGTACTAGGATCAGTAACTTTTGCTTTGAGTCTTCCTTAGTAAAAATCTATCGAACTCACTTGGCTAATAAGTAATTGCAACGTTTCAACCATTATTGTAAGTCCAAACAATAGATCGAACACATTATATTTTATATCAAACTTTGATTCTCTATTGTGTTCATTATTTTAGCCCTAGACCTTCTTGGTTCTGCAAGTGCGTTAGAGAAATTGCACAAGTAAAATTCTTATAGAACTGACCAACTTCACACTCAAGATGATGTACTATAAAGAGTACACTACAATATTCCACTTGTATTGTTTACAAGATATAGTCATCATTAAAAGCGTGAATTATCCTAACCAATATTTGGTAGACAACACTTATTTGCATCATAGAAATTGAAAGAAGTTAAAACTTCAAAGTGCTTTTCATCGAGACAAAAAAAATGTGCAAAACACACAAAGCTACGGAGAAATGCTATCCCACAACTTGAGGGTACATATGAAATTAATCATATAGTGTGCACAACTCCTTTAAAATTATGCCACATAAGCCAAATCACCAACATTCACTTCCTCTAAACCCATCAGCCTAGTGACGTTTCACCAGTGAGTTCCTAATGGTTACTGCCATTTGATTTATCTTTGTGGTTGATAAATGAAATTCAAGAAATTGCACTTCTTAAAAGGAGACACAATGGTTAGCCACCAAATTTCAAAGAGGGAAGTTAGAATACATATAACAGGCAATGCTTTATTCTCCCAACAACCCCTTGCCACTATCAAATTCTGTAATTAGAGAAGCGTAAATAAATTTCACTACTAATGCATGCATCTCTTTAGCTAGAACGAGTAGAAAATTAGAATCCAGATGCTTCATTATATTTTTAGTTTACCAAGAAATCGAAGAAAAATTAAAGAGAAAGTTCTTTCACATACTTTTCAATATACAGAACATATCTACAATATCAATTCCAGAATTAAGAATATGTTCTCGTCATGCAATACAACGTTTAAGTAAACTAGTATTGTGTGCGAACAATGCATAATAAAGAAATTGAGTAATATAAAAAAATAATGCACGAATAACAAAGTCAAAAGGCAAACACAAACTAAAACTTTTCATCCACATGAACTGATTTTGACCATCACTATATAAATTAGCATGAAAATCCGTCTTAAGATTGTTCGATAAATTGGTGCATAATTATATTCACGTGCATGATTCAAGTTGCTATTGACATCCAAATTATCGAATAATATTTGACTTGCCGAAACCAAAATATGTACATGAAAAATAAGTAAAACTTGACATTTAGGAAAATACAAAAATTAGAAGGAAGTGAAATAAAGCAAGACATGCGAATACAAATCTCCTTAAGACGGATTTTGCCCACTACACTGGTGCTAATAGGATCAAATGGACGTTTGTCTCCTAAGATACAATGCTTCTTTTAAAATTAATATAGTACAATATTAATTTATCGGACTAATTAACACTTGATTATACTTTTCTAGAACGGAAGATATAGAATACTAAATATTGAACACGTAACACAAAAATTAATTAGAAAATTATTTTTACATAATTTGGATAAGGAAAGAATTAGAAATCAATTATTTGGAATTGATTTGAATTGAAGAAAGTGGAATTAGGTGACTCTTTCACTCGAAAAGTCACACCCAATCGATGCACTTATTGAAGATTTTTTCCAGTTCGCGCATTTTAATCTTTGTATATATCCTTAAATTCCAATAGTATTAGATGGCACCTCTTCGGCATCCTTAATTTTATAAGATAAACAGATTTAATGGAAGACTTCAAGTTACAAACAAAAACAGAACAAATGTCAAATTCATCAAAACAGAATTACTAATACGAGAAAAAAAAAATTGAAGGATGGCAAGAGAAAAATCATCAGTCTCGATGTTCTAAACAACAATTGATACTTATTTATCTCAAAGCATTAATTATAAATAATTGATACAAAGGCAAAAACAATTCCATAGTAATTTGCATACCTGAATATGATCCTTAGTCCGTCCAATGATATTTGAAATGATACGACAAGTGGCCTCCTCGACACTGTACTCAAAGCCCTCGTAATCATCATTTTGTGTCAAAAATTCACACAGGCGAGGAAGAAACCCATTATCACTGATAACCTGGAAATCATTCAACAGAAGCAAGTTTGTAAAAAAGGTAAAATTACAGGGTTAGCATTGAGCTTTTTATTAGAGCTCTTAAAAATTGGTCAAATGATGATACTTGAAGCCACCCCCTGAAAATTCAATTTGCAAATTCAATTAATGAGATGGTATGCGCTTCAAACGTATTATAAGCATTGTACCAAACCTTATCGGCCTCATAATCATCATGTAGTGTCAAAAATTCACACAGGCAAGGAAGAGACCCATTATCAATGATAACCTGGAAATCATTCAACAGAAGCAAGTTTGTAAAAAAGGTAAAATTACAAATGAAAATTGGTCAAATGAAAATTACAAATCATTCTTGACAGGGTTAGCATTGAGCTTTTTATTAGAGCTCTTAAAAATTGGTCAAATGAAAATTCAATTTGCAAATTCAATTAATGAGATGGTATGCGCTTCAAACGTATTATAAGCATTGTACCAAACCTGACTATGACAAAAACAATGAGGACTGAAGCCATTCTTCTAATGATTATTTGCAAAATGAATGATCATCGGAACTGCTTCATTGACAAGGACACAATGTCTGTTAATCATGTTTTAGTTATAAGGGCTGTTTTGTTAATCAACCTTTTAAAGAAAATTGCAGTGGGTCCCTAACTTTTTCGCAAAAATTGAAAATAGATCCCTAATATTTTTAACTCAACCATCCAAACCTTTGAAAAAATAAACTGCAGTAAAATGTGGCATGTGTAATGCACGTGTCTAACTTTCACAAGAGCAAAAAGAGTACTATATGATTATGATTAAAAGACAAAATGGCCTACCATATACATCTTTTATATGAAACAATCAAACAAGAGTTGGTTGTGAAATATATCACATAACAAATTAATGTGCTCAAAAGGAAGTTTACTAATTAAGGTTAAGGACAAAAGTCAGATGATACCTGAATCTGGGTATCATCTACGTATGAAATAATATTACCAACGGTGCACACGGCAGGAGATGAAATATATGTGTCACGATATCTGCGAACCAATTAACCAAATAAGCACGGGTATGAAGTTCAATAAATAAAAGCAAAGTAAAAACTTAAAAAAAAAAAAAGGAACTATATCAAGTAGGATTTTTTCACTGACAGTAAAAGCTCAAAGAAACGAGGGATAACACCAGCATCAATCACAGCTTGTTTCATATCCATTTCCCCACAAGTTAGATAGAATAGTGCCATGCATGCGGGCCTAAAGATTCTTGGATCGTCTGAATGGATCAGATGAGCGAGAGGTAGGATGGCAGATTTCACCTGCTCAGTAATATCCAGAAGGAATTGGTTAAATATATAAAGGTCCAAGTCCAGCATTATTGATATGGATCAAAACCGAACAGAAAACCAATTAGAAGACAAACCTGCTCGAACCGAGGCTTTCTCATACAAAGCACTGACAATAACTCAGTTGCCTGTCTCAAGATGGTTGGTTTTGTTTTATCAGTAAATTGTTCCAATAAGGGCATTAACACTCCATGACTAAGGACAAGGTCACGAGATTCTGCTGAGACATCGGCAATCGTTGCCAACACCTCAAGTGCCTAAATTAAAAAGTAGGATATATAGTCAAAAGCAACCACGAAATAAAATTCAAAGTTCGTATATATTAGTCTTTATCAATTTGTAAAAAGTTGGACGAACATATCCCTAACATAGAGGTGCAGTTATGTTATTTACTGTTAAAAGGTATTGCCCCTACTCGACTGAAGAAAACGTAAAAGCAACCATGGAACAATGTCATTTTTGGCACTACTTAAAGACAGTTTTTCATCCCGGATTTGCAACTTGACACATGGGTGTTGGCCGTCACTGTTTCAACTCTAGTTGGGAAGGTTTGGTCTTAATCAATTTATATAAATTTGCATTGAGTTCATCTTCCAGCTCTGTGGACGTTACGTCAACACATTGAATAATGCTATGTGTTGAATAGTGTTCATCATTGGTCTACACGACCCATTTAATTAAACCTATAATTTAATGTTACCTATAAATTCATTGATGATCATAAATGGTGATACATAGCATTATTCCAGCATATTGATATTTATTCTTTCTTGGGGCGGGTGTCTGCTTTGTATGATTCTTGATTTGAATGTAATCCTTCAACATTTACAACTTGATAAGGTGTTTATACGTGCTTATCCGTGATATTTAAACTTGATAAATAATTTATAGTTGAGTGAATTCCTACATAATTTAGCGTACATATGATAATTTAAGTAAAAACCAATTAGAAAGCATTCATGCAAAAAAAAAAAAAATGTTGAGAGATGAAGGTTTTTAGCTAATTTATAGTTGATTTGGAGCAAATGAAGATTAACCGGACTGGACGAGGATCAATAATGAGTATTAAGAGATAAATAGGAGGAATGTCACTAGTTTCTAAAGTGAAATTCAACTTATATGAAGTTTGGAGACTAATTTGCACAATTTTGGAACTTAAGAAAGACTACTTACCGAAGATTGTTGAGGTTTGGGAAACAATCTGAATTTTTTTGAAAATTGTGAGATCAAATATTGAAGAATTGGAGTGAAAAGGATCAAAATCAGACAAAAATGTTGAAATAGAGACCAAAGTGCAACATACGGAAGTTAATGGACTAACTTGGACATGTTAAATAATGAAAGGACCAAAACTGGTGAGATAAAAAGTTGGAGGATCAAAATAAATAAAGCTAAAAGTTCAAAAACTTGGTTTACAATGTAATGTTGAAAAGTGAAAAATAATAATAAAAGCTTAAAAAATAGTTACATGGTTGTTAGAACCAGTCCGATTGGACAAAGTTTTTGTTGTTTCTACTTTTCTTGATCCGTTTTGAGTATTTTAGAGGCACAATTCTCAAAGCATTCTTACCACTATATAAGGTCCTCATTTTTTAAAAAAAATAAAAATGAAGGGGAAACAATGTTCCAAAACTCAAAAATTAGAGAAAAAAGAGACAGATTAAAGGAAAAAAAAAATAGGTTTTTCAAAATTTGGCGTGGAAGAAGACGATTCTTGGTGAACGTTCTTCAAAATTTTCTAATTTTTTTATTGTAACTTGGTCACGTGCTCTATTTCTTTCTTGTAAGTCTCTTCTTCCATGATCTTTAGATAAATTAATACTTAAAATAAATGTGGTAACCTAATTTGAATCTTAATTTCAGTTAATACTTCAACTAACTGTGTATTATTAATTAAATTTTTTGGTGATTGAATGCTTTTGATTAAAGCATATCGGGAACGCGTCTTACTTAATTCAATTAGTTAATTTGAACTCGATAGGAGTAAATCAATTAATTTAGAAGAAATTGATCAAGTAAGCATAATTAACTATTGTTGGGATTTGGTAATTGATATTAAAATTCAGTTAATACTTCAACTAACTGTGTATTATTAATTAAATTTTTTGGTGATTGAATGATTTTGATTATAGCATATCGGGAACGCGTCTTACTTTATTCAATTAGTTAATTTGAACTCGAAAGGAGTAAATCAATTAATTTAGAAGAATTTGATCAAGTAAGCATAATTAACTATTGTTGGGATTTGGTAATTGATATTAAAGAGATAATAATGGTGAACTCGTAAATCATTCACACATCAAGAATAACCGTAAATAGTCTATTTGTGAGAAGATTATTTTATTTTAATTAAGTGGTGAACATTTTTCTTTATTTTAATCAAGTGGTCCTCGTGACAAGATTCTCAAGTCGAGTATAGTACTTATTTGATTGACATCTTACACTTGCAATAAAATCACAACATAACATAACACCTACCTCTCTGCGATGTTCATCCGTGGGAGAACTAACAAGGCTCACCATAGTGGGAACTACTGCACCCTGTTCAATCAGGTGGATGTTGTTGGATGAACGATGTGAAATATCTGCTATAGCCCTCGCTGCCGCAAGCTAAGAAAGTGAATAACTCAATTTATTTAGCTGTTGAAACACATGAAATAAACAGGAGAAGCAATTGAAAGCACAAATTTAAACCTGAAGCTTCGGGTAATCAATTCTATCAAGAAACTCGAGGAGTCGAGGACCAATTCCCTCCGATATGAATCCCTCCGATATGTAAACTAATTAATTGAAAGCAAATGGAATCAGAGATAGAAGAGAAAATAACTTAAATAGTAATAAGATTTATATCAAATTAATTGGCTTCGAGAGAAGTAAATTAATCGATTACCAAAAACAAGCCAGAGCTCAGAACAGCCTCTGATTTGCAGTTTGTCGTCATTTGACTCAAGGTTAGCTATTACTTCAGCCTTCAATTCGTTGATCTGTTTCTATTGGAAGAAATTAATAATGAAGTTTAGGCAACAGTTTCTATATACTAGTTCTACTCAATTAAATTTGTCCCACATAATTACTTACTTGCAAGAACTATTTCATTATGCAAAAAAGACACATTTTTCTTTCAAATTTGGTTTCCAAGAGAGGATTTGTGTCTTGTTTTTATACTTCTGTAACTACTAAAATGTGGTGAATTTTTCATATATAAGCTGCAGTGCAAGTCATGCTTGTTAAAGCCAGCAGTTGCTGAGTTATGAGGTTAGAGCGAAGGCATTACCTTTCTGTCCAAGGGCGATGGAGCATGCTAGGGAACCTTTTGGATATATTTATGGAGAATATGAAAAAGATATGGACTTCTCGAACTTTGGTATGATAATAAATTTACAAAATCCCCTTAAGGAGAATGAAAGTGACCACGAGCAGGAGGGACATGTCAGTAAAATGATCACAAGTTTTTTTTTTTTTTGGAGGTCCGGCCTTGGCCCTTCTAAATTTTGTGTTTATTTTCTTTATTGGTAAGACAAATCTAGAGTGGTTTGAAAAAACAGAAAGAAAAAATGGTAATGCTTGCTAAAATTTCATTATAAAGATCTGTAGATATTCTTGAGATAGAGAAATGATCAGTTACAAGTTACAAGCAACAATAAGTATCGCTTTTACCTCTGGAAGGTCCAAGTCCAACCCCCTCTTGACACGAACTTGAAGGCCATCATTTCCGAAATTCTCTTGTTCTTCTTGTATTTTCTTTGCCGAAAACACAGCTGAAGGGCTAGCATCATCCAAGTCAATGATTTGAAGAGTTGGTATAACTCCAAAGCTACAAGGGATCTCCTTTAGGTTGGAACATTGCCTAAGCATTAGGCACTCACATTAGGCACTCGAGGCTTGTGAAACTGTTATTGGCTCTCCATTGCACTAGAAAACAACTTGAAAGCAGCAGAAATTTTAGTTTGCAAAATTCTCCTTCGGTTGGCTCCCAATCTGGCTCCCTTCGAAAGTGATTTCGTAGCAGTTTGAGCACTTCAAGGTTGGGCATGGAACCAATAATAGTCATGTGTTTCCAAGCAATTTTGCAATCCTGTAAAGTTAACTTCTTGATACTTGGTGGGAAAGTGAAATTTATCGGGATTTTAACACGTCTACCAGCATTTGTGATTTTCAAGGTCTCAAGTTGAGGAAGATTTACAAGAGTACGTAGAAAGATCTTATCGTCATAGCCACCACGAATCCCTAACTTGTTTAGATTTGGAACTCTTTCAACGACCTCCTTGGTGCAGCTGGAACCACTCACTTTTGAAAGTGTTAAAAGGTTTCCTAGAACAAAATTCTTCCCAGCTATTGGTGATCTAGTAGGGCATGGCAAATAACACTCCCTGAACAAGAGATGCCTTAATTGTGTCATCTTCCATATTTCCTCTGGTAGATGTACAACATAGTGACTATCCACAATTAAGGTCTGTAGATACCGAGGAAAATCAGGTAATGTTTTAGGCAAGGAAACTTTCCCATAACGGGGGAAAGCAAGGTACCTTGAGTGAACTAATTTTATTTCTCCAAATGGGAAACTATCCCGACCTACATATTGTTTAAGATCCAACACCCTGAGCAGTGGAAATAGTTTTCCATCAACTAATTCGTTAATCTGGCTTTCATCTATGCCTTTAGGGCCTTCAGAATATGAAATACTTGGAACACCATAAATTAAAATAGAACGGACTGCTGGCAAGGATCCCATGGACTGGTAACATTTGAATTCCTCGTGAAGAATATCTGGATGAATACACAGGCGACGTGAATACTTTATGCTTTCAGGAAAAATGTTATCTTTATCTCTGACATGAAAAAACTTCTCCTCCTGGGCTTTCTTTAAGCATAGGTCCCTTAACATATCATGGATGCCACAGGTTTTTATCTTTCCTCTAGAACTCTTCCCACTAATCATAATAAGATTTCTGGAAATTAGATCTCCCAAATAGTCCTCCGCCACTTTTTCCAAGGTTTTATCTCTGACTGGTTTTAGAAAACCCTCTGCAACCCATAACTTGATGAGTTTGGAGACACGGATTTCATCATCTTCTGGAAAAACTCCCATATAGAGGAAGCATGGTTTGAGGTAATGAGGCAAGTGATCGTAACTTAGAGATAGTATTCCTGAGCAGTTTGCATCTTCTGCATTTACAACTNTTGCTCTTCCGAGCTGTCCTCCCTGTGATGTTTTGTCGTGTTGGCTTTGGAAAGGTGGCCACCAATCACGACAAGGGAAAGTGGGAGTCCTTTGCAATTCTCTGCAATCTCCTTTCCAGCTTCCTCCAGTTCAAGAGGGCAACAATCTTCCCCAAACACCTCCCGACGAAGTAGATCCCAACTGTCAGTCTTATTTAGAAATTGCATATGATGGGGAGAGCTATTGGAGTCAACCACACTCGACAGTCGTGTTGTCAACATGATCCGGCTGCCATTCCCGTCGTCTGGAAATATCCTACACAAAGAATCCCAAGCTTCAGTAGTCCAAACGTCATCCATCACAACAAGATACCTCCGACCTTTTAAACTTTTATATAGATACTCTTTTAAGTCTTCAGTACTTTTCTCTTGATGCATCTCAGCATTGAGTTGTTTCGTGGAATCCAGAAGGCTCAGCAAGACTTCTCGCTCACGATATTCTTGAGAAATTGATACCCAGGCACGCGTGTCAAAACGAAGTGCAATCCATGGATGATCATAAACATTTCTAGCAAGTGTTGTCTNTGTCAAAACGAAGTGCAATCCATGGATGATCATAAACATTTCTAGCAAGTGTTGTCTTGCCAATGCCTCCCATGCCAGTAACTGGGATTGTTTGAAGAGCAGGTGGATTTCTAAGTCGTTCTATTATTTCCGTCAGATCTTTACCAAACCCGACCATATCATTCTTGCCGATTGAAGGAAGTCTTGATTGTCCAGTTGGAAAAGAAGTCCTCTGGCTCTGGCTCTGGCTCTGGCTCTGGCTCTGGTGCAGATCTGTTGAGCCCCACAATTCCTTAAGCTTAGCTGCCTTTGTCTTAATGGAATCAATTTCATGTGCAACTTTCTCAAAGTTCACACAAAAAGTTTGGTCTCTCATTTGTCTTTCTTGAAAACCTTCCTTACCAAAATTCTTTGATATATGTGATTCGACATTATCTTCAGCTTTGTACACGGCATCTCGAATTTCCGTCTCCAGACATCGTACTTCCTCGCTCCTTCTCTGCCAAGAATCATCCAGAAAATCTAGTAAGAAGTTCAAATTTTTCTGGAGAGATTTAATTTGTTGGTCCTGAAGAGGAGTCTGATGTTGTTCGGGAAGACGAGGATTTGATAAATGCTCCAGAATCCGATCAAGAGATAATTCGGGAAGACGAGGATTTGATAAATGCTCCAGACTCCGATCAAGAGATAATACAGCAGCATAAGCCATCTTCGATTTTTTCACAGAATCTAATTGAGAGATAATATCACGAAATTGTAGCCCGCCTTAAGAAGTGGTAGTTCTGGGAGGTGGATGTGAAGTTGGAGGAATTGAGTGGAGGAGGGAAGGGATGAAGGAGAGTGCAGAGAGAGAAAATGGTTGCGCGCAAGTAAATCATACAAGAAAATCGGTTGGGTCTTTGTCAAAGTTGAACATCCACATTATTATTATAACAAGACTTGTTACATCCACTGTATTCAAGAAAATATCTCATTATTTCACACTCATTATCAACCA